GCATTTGTAGATTCCAGACAGCATGAAGCTAATGAGGTCCTTCTAAGGAAAAGTGGAATTGCTCCTACTAATCCTCAGAATCCAGAGATTCCTCTTCAACTTCCAGCCCTCTGCTTTGGAATATTTCTCTAGATTTAGATGAGGGAATAGTTATTCAACAGTGCTCATTGTAAGCGTCCCAGATGAGGGCAAAGAAGAAGTATGGCGATGAGAAGAAAAACAGAAAGTACAGGGTATCTGGAGCAGCTGGGGCCCCTGGGGCACAGGGAACACTTATTAACAAGGACCTTCAGCTGCTTTGACAGCTAAGCTAAGTCTTTAGAGTCAGGCAACACATCCCAGGAAGAAAGGGAAGCAGAGTCCTAGAGGGGTGGGCTGCATCAGTTCATGTGAACTTAGTAATGATGGATCCGAAGGAAAGGAGGCGAGATGTCCCTCCCTACACTTAGCGTGGAGCAGGGCAGAGGTTGCGATGGCACAGAGAGAGCAAAAGGGAAGCCGTGGTGGACCGACCTTTAGCTTCCCACATGGCAGGGCTGACGTTTACCCTTCTCCTGAGATGTGAAAGGAAGGGGCGAAGTTCTTTAAACTCTTAACGAGGGTGCCACAATCGACCATTCTAATTAACGGCATTCCATACCCACCCTTTCCTGAGTTATCTGATGTTTCAAAGGGCTAATGGCACTCAAAGTACATCATACAGGGTAGAAATCTAAGGTCCTCATGCCAGCTCCTTTCTGAAGGTCTTGAAGATGATCATGATCATGGACATTATGGCAGCACTGCACCAAGAGCTCTGTCCATAATCATTTAACCTCACAGTGACCCCATGAAAAAATTGTTATTCTCATTTTGCAGAAGAGGAAAGGTTAAAAGAGGCCAGGTTGTGGCTTACAGTTGGCTCAGTCTCAGAGCCAGATTTTGAGTCCAGGCAGTCTTGAGTCCAGAACCCAAGCATGCATGTATGATTGAGTACAACCCATTCCACAGACCCCTTGCAATCTTGTGTATTTATGTATGTGTTTCTCTCTGGGACTTTCATTGGTCACTCAAAGGAAATGAAGAACATTGCCCCTAGAGGAAGCAGGACCCAATGCCAGCTACGTAGACCTGATGCCAAGGGTGGAACAAGAGCTACCTTTTCCCTTCTCAAAAGGCTGTCCCATCTGCTTGCTCATCCTTCCTGCCACTGAGCTCATTTCCCACACAAAACCTTTCTTCACTCAACTACAGGGGGCAATGCACCACACATTCAGCTGCGCACCACCCCTCACCAACCCCCAGCTTTTTCTGCTTATTGTCTGCTGTTCTGTGAGTGCCCATTGCTCTGTGCTGGGCTCTGCAGTCAGCCTGCACCATGCAGCTTCACAGTGCACATGGGAGGAGCTGGACCCATAGCTCAGTGTCAGTAGCAGCTTGTCTTGCTCAACTGGAGTCACTGACAGCAGCAGCTCGGGCACCCGGGCTCTTGAGGCCACTGTTCATTCTTTGTGGGAAGGAAGTGTTACTCAAGCATGAGCACTTGCTTGACAAGAATGGTGTTTGCACAGATTGCAAGAAAACTTCCCGCAACCCCCAAAACGTGCCCTCCTCAACCCCAACAACATGCACACACAGCAAATTGCCTTGCAAACTTAGCTTCCCACCTGACAAGCCACGGCTCATGATGGGCTAAGAGATACTGACCCTCCCACCCCCAGCCCTTGGAGTGGCCAGGTGTGCTCATAGGTGGCCTCACCTTGGGGTCCCAGGGTGCCAGATAAATACTAATCTTCTCAGGGTCATGATGTCAGCAAGGTTAAAACAGTGACACAAACAACCTACTCCTTTATCAGCAAAAACTTCTCAAGAGCATTTAAGAATCAGATGGAAAGTGTAAAGGCCCCCAAGAGAGGTGTCTGCTCTAAATTCCCAGAACCTTCCACAATCCTAAGGAAACGTCACTACCTCTCAGCAGGTTAGAAGGGAAGCTCAGAGGGAAGGTGCAGACCTGCACTGTCCAGTACTGTAACCAGGAGCCACGTGTGGCTGCTGAGAACTTGAATGAGGCCAGTCTGCATTGAGATATGTTTAAATATAAAACACACATCAAATTTTGGAGACTTAGTATGAAGAAAATAACATAAAATCCCAACTTAAAAAAATATTGATTCTGACCCTGGATGGGAATCTCAATTGGTTAGATATACCAAGGTTGTGGGTTCAATCCCTGGTCAGGTCACATACAAAAAATCAACCAATGAATGTATAAATAAGTGGAATAATAAATCAATGTTTCCCTTTCTCTCTCTCTATTTCTTCCCCTCCTTTCCTTCCCCCCTCCTTTCCTATCTCTAAAATGAATTAATCAATCATCAAGAAATAAATACATAATTTAAAACTTTTTGATTCCATGTTGAAATAAGAATGTGGGATATAGTAGGTAAGTAATCTTACCTGTTCCGTTTACTCTTTTGAATGTGTCTTCTGGAAATTACTGAAGACAGTGTGGCGCACACTCTTTTTCTCTTGGACGACATTGATTTAAGCCAAAGGTTCTCTGCCTTAGTGCCATGGAATATAAGCAAAAGGTGGTGTTACCGGTGGCAGCAGCGAGCATGTTATAACTGCTCCAGGTGAACTTGAAGAGGGCCCTGTCTTTAACCTGTTCCTCTGGTCTCTGTAGTAGCAATGGTTTGTTCTGCCAGATTTACATCATCCATCCAATGGAGTGTGTGACCTTGACTGAAGCAATAGTCCCTTGATAAAACTGCTACTACTCTCTCACTGTTGTTTAATGACAGGCACCACGGCATGTATTCTACCTCTATGATTTCATCTAATCCTCACTTGAGCTCGTCAGAGTAATGACAAATGAGGAAATTGAGATTCAGACAGTCTACAACTTGTCCAAGCCAACTTAAGCCTCATTTCAAACCTGCACTCCCAACCATCCTGCTACACAGCTTCCTACAGGGCGGTGTGGGAGAAACCTTCGACAGGCACTGCTATTTGGGGATGCTTGCCAAGCCCTTCCCTCTAGCCAAGCGTTTAAAGACATCATCCTCTGTGTTGCAGCCTTGGTTGGGCTCCCCAGGCTCACAGCATGGAGAGCAACTGGCTACAGTGCCTGGCTAGGGAGCTAGTTGGGAAGTTTAACATGAGCAGAGCGGAAATGACAGGAAATGGGAGGAGTTCTGGTCTCTCCGGACAAAAAGCTCAGGAGGTTGGGGATTCAAAAGGAACATCCTGCCTCCCTTTAGAAAAGCCACCCAGACACCAAGCTTAGTGCCAGGCCGGTCCCTGATTGGCTCAGATGGAAGAGCATATGATTCTCATGGGTTAAAAGTACGTAATTAGCAGAGAAAGATGTATTAAGGGAAGAATACATTCTTTATTCGCTCAGTGTTTGAGATACTGTGAGAACAAAGGTGCTTTTGGAAACATTTTCTGAAAAGTGGCTTCAGAACTAATTACAATCACTGCTAATCATTTAGTATCTTTGATTACTCAGTATACTCAGTAGAGGGAGTATAGGCAGCTGCCCCACCTCTCCAGTACTTTCTGGAAGTTTTTGCTTTTCCAACTAAGGCTTTTTTTTTTTTTTGTGGGTGGTCTTTACCTGAGAGGCAGGATCAAAGACCAGAAAATAAATATTCAGATCTGAAATCTGGCATTTAGAGCAGCCCAACTGGCTAAACTTCAGATTATATTTGTAGCCAGAAGAAAATTGGAAAATATTGATTGGAAACTCCAGATTGTCAAAAGCAACTGCTCGGGTGTCAAAGACACATTCCTGGTGGAAACAGGTGAGAGAAAGAACAAGCATCACAGGCCAGAGGAAGAGTGGCCTTCAGCAGGTCAGGATAAGTACAGGCGGTTGAAGTATATCAGAGACAGGTGGAGTCCCAGGAGGAAGGACCTCTTCCTCTTCAGTTCCCCATCCCGGCCTTCTAGGCGTAGTGCGTGTGTGGTCACCTAAAGGAGTGGCTTTCGTATCCAAGGAATTTGCTTTGTTACAAGTCCAAGAACTATGATCTCCTGCTTTACACAAGTTCAACCTTTGCTCTACTTTCTTCCGGCTTCTCAAACATTTACTCACCAGGAGCTTCATATTCAGTGAAGGTAACTCAGTATTTGCAAAAGCTGAGAACACCAACTCGGAAGTTTGATGTTCACACCCTGACAGGTCATAGCCACCTTTGGCTTGCTCTTACTTCTGGGATGGTGTGTACAAGGTGTGCTAAGTCTTCAGTAACCTTCCCTTTAGGAACCTGTAAGCGAGACCTGGAAAAAAAAGTGCTGCCACCCCTGAGCGTGGTGTACTTGGTTAGTTATGAAGCCACCAGAGTCCTGGGATTTGAGGGCAAGAAGCTGGTGAGATCAGAGGTCTCTGCCCCTGCCATGTCCCCATTTCATAGGAAATGAAACAGAGGCTCAACTACAGTCTTAGTCCCTCGGGAAGCCTAAGGCTGATCTTTCTAGGAAGACACCTTGAGACGCAGAAGAGTGAGGGAGGGCGGGAGTGATGGCTGCCTCTCCCTTTGTTTTTCCCTAGGACATAGCAGCCTCATCTCCCCCTTCCAGTAGGCCACACACCTTTTCCCACCTCCTATCTTCTGGAGAAGCTTGAACCCACTCATTCTAAACCATCATTGTTCTCTAAACACAGTCAGACCACTGACTTACAAATTGAAGGGATGGAAGTGGAGAGCAGGGGGAGAGGCAGCTAGGAAAATGCTGGAGGTTTTATGAAAACCCCACCACCTTGGACACAGCCAATCTTATCTGACCTTGGATGCTGAACAGCTGCGCCCGTTTCTGGTCTATGGTCCAGGCTGGCCAGCATCGAGGAAACTGACTTAGACAGAAGGAACCCTCCCTCTGTATTAGGCTCTTTAGGAAGCAGCAATGGGATAAAGTAGCTAAGAATCAAAGCACCATCCTGACCAACACAGAGAACAGCCCCTGCACGTCTGATGGACATACTTTTGTTCTAAACCATTTTTGGAGGAAACAACATGGCCTCTCCACTCAACTACGATGCTCCCGGTAACTTATAGGCATAAGAATCTCCTAGGAGGAGGGAGGACTGGAAAAGAAAGTGGAGTATATCATGCCGTCTCCAGCAGCCACAGTCCCTGCAAATCCCACTCAATTGGTTTTAATCTCAGGCATTTCCATTCTAGTCAATGAAGGACTTGGTACAAAGTGGGTGGGCCTGTTACTATGGTAACAGTTTCCAAGTGATGGTCATTACTTGGACCACAGCATTGCTGTCTCTCTCCATCTCTGAGGGCGATGGTAAAAGGGAGGTGGGCTGAACTCCACAGAGAATAATTAGAGCCTACAGAGGTAAGCCAAGTGCCTCGCAGTGTGACCTTGCCAGCGTGAGCGGCTCCTGACCTGAGAATCCAGACTGCCTGAGTTTAACCCCCATGTTTTCTCTCCACAAATGCCAGTCTGTAGGGTTTGTTTCTAATAAAAACTTTTACTTTTCTTCCTTATCGCAGATATTAAGACAAAATTATGAAGATTAAGATAAGCAAAGAGAAGAAAACATACTCATAGTTCCCATAATAGAGCTTAGTGTATGTCATCTTTGCTATGCAACTGTGTGTGCTTAATAAAAAGCACAATAAAAATAGAACACTATACATGTCATTGTATAGTGTCCTTCTTCAATTAAAACATAGTGACTTAAGTGTATAAATGCACTAATTTCAAAAAATATATTTTTATTGATTTCAGAGAGAAAGGGAAAGGGAGAGAGAGATAGAAACATCAATGATGAGAGAAAATCATTGATCAGCTGTCTCCTGCTGGGGATTGAGCTGACAACCTGGGCATGTGCCCTTGACTGGAATCAAACCCGGGATCCTTGAGTCCACAGGCTGACTCTCTATCCACTGAGCCAAACAAGTTAGGGCTAAATTCACTCATTTTTAATGACTGTCTGGTCTTCATTCATATAGATTAATTATATGTTATTTATTCATGCCCTTGCTGTTAGACATAAAAGTTGTGTCTAATTTTTGACTGTTAAAAAAAAAGAGCCAGTTTAGTAAAATCTTATCATACAATCTTATTTGTTCTGGATAAAGCTCCAAAATTGGGATTTCTGAGTCAAAGATCCATATGTTTTAAGGCTTTGGGATGCATATTGAAAAACCAGCTATCCACACCCACCAGCAGTTTATGTCTATTTCTTAAAGGCTCACCAATGCTGATGATAAGCAGTATTTTTTTCTGGTTTTGACCATGTTCACATGTAAGCACTTAGGAATACAAAAGAAAATACTTATACTTATCATGATTACTATTAATTTGCATATATAAAGGCCCCCAACTATGCTACATCTGAGGATCCAAAGAGGGACACACATGTCACTTGACCTCAAAGCTCCTCAGAGAAAGAAAACATGTAAACAGAGCAGGAGTACACATTTTAAGATGTTTATATATGGGAGGGGAGAGGGGATACAGAATGTATAATAACATATTGTCCCCAGAACCCTAGCTTTGAGATCATGACTTATGCAATGACACACCCATTGGGAGCACTCCTTTACTGAATTCCTTCTAAGCATGAGGCACTGTGCTAGGTAATTATATAATTTCACAATATCTTTACAGCATCATTTTGTGAGGGGCATTGTTAAACTAATTCTGAAGTTGAGAAAACTAAGGCATGGGTTAAACTGACTTGCTTAAAGCCACATATATATGGTAAGCAACTGAGCCAAAAAAAAAACAAAAAACCATGGAATTCTGCCTAGGATTAGATCAAGGATATCTTTAGACTCAGGGGACTTTACAAATAGATGCCAAACTGTCCTAGTAGAGGAGAGAAAGAATCTGAAGCTCCATGAGAAGCACTTATGGTGAATTTAGTTGGGAGAAAAGCAATTCCAGGAATCCAGGGGGTTGGAAATGGCCCCCTTAGATGAGTCTAAGGCTCAGTAATCACACTCTGGGGCTTGCTGCTGAAGGAAGATGAGTAGAGAATAGTTATCGGCTCTTCTTTTCCTCTTCTCACTTCAGATTATATCAGAGCTTCTCCAGCTTTAGTGTAGGTAGAAGTAATGAGTCTGTTAATTGCAGATTTTCAGAGTAAACCTCAGACTGGTTCAGAGGGTCTGGAGTAGGGTCCTGGAATCTGTATTTTTTCACTCTCAGAAGAGACTGATGTAGGTGGTCCTTACATCAAGCTTTGAGTGTTAGTGTTCATTCATTAGACCAGTGGTTCTCAACCTTCTTAATGCCCCGAACCTTTAATACAGTTCCTCATGTTGTGGTGACCCCCAATTTCATTGTTACAAATTGAACATAATTAAAGCATAGTGATTAATCACAAAAACAATATGGGATTATATATGTGTTTTCTGATGGTCTTAGGCGACCCCTGTGAAAGGGACGTTCGACCCCCAAAGGGGTCGCGACCCACAGGCTGAGAACCGCTGCATTAGAAGCTTCTCCCTAGTGTCCTAGGCCAGGGTGAGTTAACCCTCTCATAGCCATTAGCTCACTTAGTCTAGAAAAATTATAAGATCAATGTAGTGAGTGATAATTATCATTATTATGAAATCAACATCATCAATCATTGTCATCATCATCATCACCATTATCTAGCATGGAGGAGTGGCTCTCTTTGCCCAGGCATTGTGCTGAATGCTGGACTTGTATGATTTCACTTAATCTTTACCAAATTACTTAGGGGAAGACCTCATTATAGTTTAACCCCCATTTTATCTATCAGGAGATGGAGGCATAGGGGAGGAAGTAACATGTCCTAGGCCACACAACTAATATATGATGGAGTCAGAATTTCAGCCCAGGCCACACTTGGGTGGTTCCCATAATTCTTAGTTAAGTAGCAGAGAGGGATCCTGGGGCTGGGGGTGAATGGGGTTCTATGCTTTGCCCAGGACCATAACATTTGTCAGTGGTGTCACTGGATCGATGACCAGGACCTCGTCGATGCCCTGCCCAAGCCTCTCTCTGCAAGACTGCTGCTTCTAGATGTGTTAGGACAGATTCTGAAAAGAAAAGGTTTCTGCTAATTAATGGCACTGAATAGAAACCAAGCTGTGGTCCTCAGGGAACTCTGCACTATCATTTAAGCTCCTGGCATGAGTGGTCAGGAGGCTGAGCGTCTCTGAGTTTTGCAGTGATTCCGGTGTTAGGCACTATCCATGGCTCCCTGGGCAGGTGCTGAGGCTCCACTTGGATCTGGGCTCTGTTTGGGAGTTGCATGCCATGATGCCCACCCAATACTAGTTCTAACACTCTTTGCCAGTGGGTTGGTGACTCAGCTTGAGGCTGCTAAACTCACTGTGGGCTTCCAGGCTCCCTGGAACATCTCCCACCCATTCAGTGTGCAAAGGCTGGGCGCGGGCCTCCAGATTGCCATGGACAAGGTCAACTCAGAGCCCTCGGACCTTGGAGACTTCAGCTGGGAGTTCACTTATACCAACTCAACCTGCAGCGCCAAGGAGTCTCTTGCTGTTTTCACCAACCAGGTCCAGAGAGAACAGATTTCTGCCTTGTTTGTACCAGTGTGCCCAGAAGCAGCAGAGGTATACAACCTTCTAGAAACTCTGGCTGAGTTTCCATTGGAAGGGGTGGTCTTAAAGATGATGGGACAGATTTGAATAAGCCCTTGACAAAGTTGGCATTATTAAAATAATAATGTCAGTCTTGGGTGCCATTTTTCTGAGATGTAATTAGGCCATGTAATTAAAACAGCCAACATTCTCTTTAAAGAAAGCCTTTCAAATCAATAATTGTAAGTTGATGCTCACTAACAAACTTGTTGACCGTTTGGACTTGGTATCGTTGTAGATAGACTGGTTTTTTTATTTTAATGCTGTCAGCCACATGGCTCAGAAAAATTAAGAAGGAAATTAATGCTTGTTTTTTAATTGAAAAATATCTTTGTTTGTGTAAGTTTCCCCTTGGTGTGTGTAAGAAATGATTCAGTGACGGTAAAAGTAAGTGAGAAAGAAGTGAGTAAGACCGATTGTAATAAGCTGGGCAAGAAACTGAGAGACACCAATGACTTGTAACTGTTTAGCTAATG